AGGTTACTGAGATAGGGACGATTGTGGGGCTACAGGAGGTTACAGAGGTAGGGACGATTGTGGGGCTACAGGAGGTTACAGAGATAATGACGATTGTGGGGCTACAGGAGGTTACAGAGATAATGACGATTGTGGGGCTACAGGAGGTTACACAGAAAGGAAGGGGCAATGTCATTAAACTGTTTGAGAGCCAAGATAGGGATTATAATATCCTGGCATTGCAAAGACTAGGCATCATTGTATATACTTAAGCACAGGGTAACTGGGTGAATGGGGCTCGGTTCAAGGTGGGATATGGGCAGCAGATATTTAGATGAGTTCAAGTTGGTGGGAGATGGAAGGGCAACCAGGAAAATGGTTGCTGTAACATAGACTTGGATGAGGGTTTCATCAGCAAATGAGCCTGGACTGGGAGAGAGACAAGTCATTGATATAGATGGCCTTGGTGTTGGGAGCATGTAAGGTCTCTGAAGTCATCTCAGGGTCAGATGTGACACGAAGGTTGCAAGCAGTCAGGTTCAGACTTAATAGGTACTCAAGAAGAGAAATTTTGCAGTCTGCCCTACATTTAATAGGAGGAACTTTCTGCTCATCCAAAATTGAATGCCAGACAACAAGTAGAGCACTAGTGGTGTTGAGAGAGGGTGATGCTGAAGTAGAGCTGGGTGTCTGTGTGGCCTCTATGCTGGGTTTTTGTGGAAAGTCAAAAATCGCATGACACCAGGTTATAGTTCAACAGGTTTATTTGAGATCACAAGCTTTCAGAGCACTGCTCCTTCGTCAGATGCAGTGAGAGGAGAGCAGCGCTCAGAAAGCTTGTGATTTCAAATAAACCTGTTGGACTATAACCTGGCGTCATGTGACTTCTGACCTCATCCACCCCAGTCCAACACCGGCACCTCCATATCATCCCAAAAGAGACCAATTGAAATGGAAACACAGGTGTCTCCCTGCAGCAGGTGCTGTCTCCTCACAGATATTTCCCCCTCAGTTAATGCTTAGCCTGATTTCTAACCACAATAACATCACTGGCACTAAGGCAGCAAAGTGTCCTTTAGGACCCGCATCATTCGAGGCAGAATCTATATTCGGAATCAGCAGCTGCTTACCTCAACCCAAATAGCTGAGGGCAGCTCGCTTTGATGTTTCAATGCTTCCTCTCCAAATCTCGGCTCCAGCCTCCCTGAAAGATTGTTTTACAGACGTATTCAGAGGGTTTTCAATGCCACATTACTGCCCACTTTTTAACTGGATAGAACTTGGTTACCCTTGACGATGAGTGTCAGTGCACAGCTTAGTTAACCAGAGAGGGTAACCAGCAGAGACAGTGCTCATCTGTGTCTGTGGACACAAGCACATACACGCACACTTCAGACAGGAATGGGAACGGTTATAAAGTCACAGAGTCAAACAGCATGGAAACAGACCCTTCAGTTCAACCAGTCTATGCCAATCATAATCCCAAACTAAACTAGTCTCACCTGCCTGTGCTTGGCTCATATTCCTCCAAGCATTTCTTATTCATGCATTTAATCTAAATGCCTTTTAAATGTTGTAACTGTACTGATATCCACCAATTTCTCTGGAAGTTCATTCCACACATGAACCACTCTTTATATGAGAAATTGCTCCTCATGTCCTTTTTAAAATATTTCTCCTCTCACCTTAATAATATGTCCCCGAATCTTGAAACCCCCAACATCCACCCCAGGGAAAAGACAAAAAAGAAGACAAAAGAGTGAAAAAAGGAAACTTGGCTGATTTTCTACCTTCCTGGCCCAGTACACTAGCCTCTGAGCTTCTCAGAATCTACATATGCATTCGTGCTTCACACTGCAGAGTCGTCCCATGGGAAGCTTTTGACTGGAACTTTGAACCAACTTCCAGCTCAGGCGGATAGAAATGATTCTACTCCCTTCCCCAGGGCTCTATTCCACAAGCAACATCATTAAAAGAGAGTATCTGGCCCTGATCACCTTGCTATCTTAGGGATCAGACTGTACCGTGCCCCACGCAGGCAGTTTGAGAGTGCCCGACCACGTGGCCAATGGGAATGTTTCACAGAAGGAACAAACAGAATGTGGTCCCTTTAAGGAGCAGACATGTGGAGTCAGGCGGGAATAATTAAGAGACTGGTTTGTGTGAGAAACACCATGAAGGGGGATGAAAGGAACTGCTGATGGTGCACAAGTACTAATTTCTTCATTTGCCACATGTTTTAAGAGGATCAGTCATTGTTATACAAATGCAGGTCTTTATTTAGTACTGGGTGCAGGTCAGTGCAAACCTGGGCTCAGAATGTTAGCAATCACTTCCACACCAGGCAGCTACACAGTGAACTGACTGCGTGCGCACAAAGTCACATGAATTTGTGCTGAGACTCAAATCAGGAGGGTGTGAGTTTAAATTCAGCATAGTATGGATAGATTCTGACCTGGCTGACAACTGTTAGACAAGGACTGACCTCCAGTAATTGAGAGAAACTCAGTTGTGACTGATGCACTGCAGCTGAGTTTGTGTCTCTCTGTGTTCCTTTACAGTGGGAAAGCGACAGAGACCAGATCAGCTGAGCAGTGCTGGGCCCAGCAAGGAGCGATCTGCGTACTTTTTCTGGCAGGGTCGCCTGTCGAGCATTAGCGGCAAAGGAGCATCGGCACTGATGACCGTGGAACTGGGCAAGGACAGAGAAGCTCAGGTAACAATTTCAGGCAGTGAGTTGCAGGAGGGTGGGAGCTACTGAGAGAAGAGCCAGGAATTACAGTACCCGTGTATGATCAGACTGCCATAGCCAACACTGCACCATCCAAAACCACACTGAGCAATTATAGGCCTGGCCTTTCATTCCCTCAAGCATATCCTGCAATCTTATTAGTACTTCGTCACATTTGCTAAGATATTCCTCGATTCCCTTACCTGACAAAAATCCATTAATCCTAATTCAGTTGACCCAATATCCACAGATGTTGGTGATATAAGATCATAATCAAAAAAGCAACACGAATAGGCCATTGCTCTGCTATACAATAAGATAATGGCTAATCCGATAATGACTTGGCTTCATTTTCTTACGCCCCCCCCATAACCCTGGCTTGACTGCCTCGTTGATCAAAATTTGTCTAATTCAGCCTACAATAAATATTTTGAACTTCACCATTCTCTGTGGGAAGAAATTCCTCTTCATTTCTGCCTTAAATGGGAGAGCTCTTATTTTGAACCTGTTTCTCCTTCAAGATTCCATCAAGACTGCAAATGTCCTCTGAACATCTACCCTTGCCAAGGCCACTCACAATCTTGTCTTTCATCAAGATCACCTCTCATTCTTCTAAACTCCAATAAGCACAACAACCCCTCTTCTTCCTCAGGAGGCTGAGGAAATTTGGTGTGTCCATAAGGCCTCTCACCAGCCTTTATAGATGCACCATAGAAAGCATTCTATCTGGATGCATCATGGATTGGCACGGGAACTGCTCTATACAGGATTGTCAGAAACTACAGAGAGTTATGAACACAGCCCAGACCATCAAGCAAGCCATCCTTCCATCTACTGACTCCATTTACTCCATTGACTCTCGTTGCCTCGGACGACATCCTCAAAGACCCCTCCCACCCTGGTTATAATCTCTTCCAACCTCTTCCATCAGGCAGAAGAGACAAAAGCTTAAACGTATGTACCAACAGATTCAAGATCAGCTTCTTCCCCGCTGATATTGGACTTCTGAATGGATGTATCAAATTTCAAATCTAATGTTGATCTTTTTGTGCACCTTCTTTGCAGCTGTAACTTTGTATTCCTCGCTCTGTTCAATCACCCTGTGAACCTTGTATGATATGATCTGCCTGCACAGCATGGAAAACAAAACTTTTCACTGTACTTAGGTACATGTGACAATAATAAATCAAATCAAATCAAGCGTGGGCCCAACCTGCTTAACCTTTCCTCATAAGACAAACCCTTAATCACAGGAATCACCTTTGTGAACCTTCTCTGCACTGTTTCCAATACAGTGTGTCCCTCTTTAAGTAAGGAGACGTAAAGTGCACACGTTTCTCCAGGTGTGGTCTCACTAATGCCCTGTAGAATTGTCACAAGTCTGCTCTATGTTTATAAAAGCAAAAGACTGCAATTGATGGAAATCTGAAACAAGCCCAGAGACTACTGGAGAAACTCAGCAGGTCTGGCAGCATCTGTGGGCAGAGAAACACGTTAACACTTTGAGTCTTGTATAACTCATGCAGAACTAAGGAAGATAATTTGAAAAAGATACATTGTTTGAATAAGATTCCACACTTAGTAAGATAAGAGCCCATGGTATTGGGGCTGGTGTGGATAGAGTCTTGGCTTATGAACAGAAGTTAAAGAGGGCATTTTCAGGATGGTAACCTGTAACTAGTGGAGTGTGAAAAAGATCATCGCTGGATCCAAATGCCACATGATTCTTATTACATCTTACAAAGGCTTGTTTTACAGTCTGTTCCGTAATCTGAGAGATATGTCAATAAGGGTGTGACTGCTGGCTCAGTGGTTGTGGTCTTATCTCCTTATCAGAGTAGGTTCAGTTCCAACTATGAGGAATGGAGTATTTCATTTTAGCTGATAATCCAATGCAGTTAGAAGTAAGTGCCAAAACTGCAGTCAAAACAGCTGCCTTTCAGGTAAGGTTTTAAATCAAGGCCTCAGTTCCATGGCACCAGCATGAGTTTTCCTGGTGTCTGGATTACTATCCATCTCTCAATTAGCATTGCTTTAGAAACAGGTCATCCTGTCCTGATTTCTAATGGGAATTGTTTGTCAGATTTTGCTGTGGGTAAATTGGGTGCTGTATTTTCTACATTCAATAGCGACGCACACCAGAAGTCTTCATCAGCTTCATGCACTTTGGTTTGCCTCTTGAAAGTAGCTATAAACTGTAAATAAAGATTCCAGTGAAGGGTAACAGGACCCAAAACGTTAACTCTGCTTTTTCTTATCAGATCTGGTGAGTTTTTTCCAGCAATTTCTGATTTTGATTCTGATTTCCAACATCTGCAGTTCTTTATCTGTAAATAAAGGTTCCTGTTTTTGAAGACTGGGGGTCAAAGTTGTCCTAGTTAGGAATAAAAGGTGTTAATGTTGTTATTCTGAACCTACAGTATATTGGACTTTCTGATGTTTGAGGATTGGTTAATGACTGAGCAGAGCTACATGAGTGGAACTCAATCCGCACAGCGAGCACTGCTGTAATCCCTCTGCATGGTGAAGGCTATAAACTCATTTTACTGCCCGTAACTCTTAGTCCTCATTGATTTCCCAGGGCTTCTCCTAATCACAGGCGAACACTGCATCAGATGCCATCTGCCCCAGTAATTAGCTCAGTGCAGACACTTGAAAATTGTATGCTGTGAGAACCGAGACAAAGTGAGGAATTTCTATTTTAATATGGCCCCTGTTTTCCGGCTAATTGCAAGTGGCTGATCGTCATGTTCTCAATACCGTACTCATTTACAAGGATCAGTGCAACGTGGTTTATCACCTCTTCAAAATATGACAATTTAACAGCCACAACTGAAGACTCCAGTGATGGAGAAGCACAATGGTATGACTAAATACTGCCCAAAATCAGACCCTGCTAGACCTTGTCCTCCGTATTCGTGCTTTACTGGATATGAAAATTATATTGTACGACTTTGCATCAAGAACATTATGATAATAGAAAAGAAACGGTTATTTTCAGTTTTCTTGGTTGATTTTCTGTTGAACGAAATCTGTCGACTTGAGCTCGGGTTTACCAAAGCAATTCTGCCGATTGTTGACCAAGACTTAAATGTGTGTGTGTGCTGTTCCCCAGGTGCTGGTGTCACAGGGAAAAGAGCCCCCTTGCTTTCTGCAGTTGTTCCAAGGAGGAATGATTATCCATAGTGGAAAGAGACATAACATCAGAAACCCACAAGGTTTGGACTGTGAACTTTTTGTTTGAAGGAGTAATGAAGCAAAGAGTGGTTGAGCCTATAGATAATGGGAAAATTGTGCAAATACAGTGAAGGATGTTTCAGGGAGAAACTCCTACTCCCCCTAGATCTACTGGTGCCTCCAGCCTGCTCTCAGTGAGCTGGAGTCTTGCTGACTGTGTGTAATCTCACAGTGGTTGATTCACTATGACTGTTGTTAAACTATTGTACAAAGTCAGCCTTACCCAGTCTGCCAGTGACTCCTGTCTCTGACTCACACGTTAAAAAATTCACTCTACTTTTGCTGCTTGTAGCTACACCTGTCATGAGAGCTGATGCCATGGTAAACCATTTGTTTTGTGTTTGAGTAGCAGGTCCAAACCAGCTCATCCATATCTGCTCTGTGACACCTATTGTCCAACAACCCCTTGGTTGGGCCCTCTTTCTGCTGCCTCCCCTTTGAACTCTAGAACAGATCTTTGTAGCTTTTCAATCTGATCAAATGGCTGAAGTACTGACATTTTCTGGATGAGTTTTCTTAGAGTTTTTTTTAACAATTTAACAATTTCAAATATCCCTAATTTGTTTTACAGATTTATATTTTTGATTCACTTTAACTTGTGTCATCTCAATTTTTGCCATCCAATGACCCTTTCTAAAGAACCTGCCTAATGTCAATTCCCATAAAACCACTAAAACCTCCCTTAGGAGAAGGGTCCCTGGGTGATTCTGACTCGAAGAGCTAATGCTGATGATACTGGCTGGTTTCACAGCGAAAGATCAGTATCTTGGCTGAAGGGTTGACATCGCTGGTGTATATATGCCTACAACTTCAGTATTTGATATATGTCATTTACCGTGCTTTATTCAAAGAGAACATTAAATGAGGCTGACCATTTTGAGTTGAAGCCATGGTCCATGCCCTCGGAGTGTAATCCAGGCATATCTCTACATGTTGCATTCCAGTCAGTCTCCTTGCCCCGCTCTATCCCCACAGTCCTGAAAGTTTATTTATCTCAAATTCATATCCAATTTTCTTTTCAAATTTTTGATCATCCCATTTCCTCCACCCTCTTAGATCGCAGTTGCCAGGTCATTACCAATCGCTGAAAGGTTCTTCTCCACAATCCACCTACATCTCTTGTCTAAAATCTCGAACCTGTGCCTCCACCTCCTTGTACCTTTTACTGATGGGAACAACTTTTCTTGGTCTAAAACCTGTCATTGTCTTTTTCGCTTCAGTCAGATCTCCCCTCCTTGGAGCAAACGAGCTTGAGGAGAGTTTTATCCAACCTCATCCCTGGAACCATTCTGGTAAATCACTCCGTAGCCTTTCAAAGACTCTGATATTCTTCCCAAAATACTGTGTGCAACACACTCACTCTGGCTGAATCAGAGCTTTGCAGTGGTTAGTATGCTCTTACACTCAGTACATCTAATGGGGAAGCCCAAGATTCCATAGACTGCCCCCTCATCCATACTGTCTCCTTCAAAGCTCTATCTGTGTGAACACCAGGTCCTTCTCTCATAGCCTGTTCTTTAATATTGTGACATGAAGCATACATTGCCTTTCCCATCTGTCCTGCCAAAACTCAATGTTATACTTATCTATCTTCAGCAGGGCTTTGGCGATTGTTTATTGTGCAGGGGGAGGTCGCAGTGGAGGGCAGTCTCCTGGAGGTGGTGAGAGAGTGCAGGAGTCTGCGTTCGAGAGGCTCTTCAGTCCTGGTGAACACACAGCAAGCTCTCATCTATCTGTGGCATGGGTGTAAAGTTCAAGCCAGTGCAAAGGAGGTTGGCAGAACTGCAGCTAATCACATTAAAGAACGGTAAGGAAGGGACTGCATTCAGAAGGATGCCTGGTAAATTAACGTGATGGTTCTAGGGAAATGTTAAAACAAAATATACTGGTTGTGTTGTCTATGCATTTCACTCGCCCCTTCCTTCTCTAAAGGTATCAAGTTGTAGCTCCAGTATCAAATTAGGTGGGTTGTTATCTAATGTTTTTAACCCATAATCTGCAAAAATGAATGACTGTCCAGTCAAGGTCAGAAGTTACGTGACACCAGGTTATAGTCTAACAGGTTTATTTGAAATCACAAGCTTTTGGAGTGTTGCTCCTTTGCCAACTGACTTCACCTGATGAAGGAGCAGTGCTCTGAAAGCTTGTGATTTCAAATAAACCCGTTGGGCTATAATGTGGTGTCATGTGACTTCTGACCTTGTCCATCCCAGTCCAACTCTGACAACTCCACGCCATGTCCAGTCATGAGCAAGGATGCCAAGAAACAATCAAGAGCTAATGCAGAGATGGGGAGTTTATCATTATAGCTTTCAATCCAGTTTGCATCTCTAAACAGGCCCAGTCTCAAAACTGAAGCAAAATACTGCAGAAACTGGAAATCAGAAACAAAAGCAGAGAATGCTAGAAACACCCAACAGGTCAGTCAGTGTCTGTGTGGAGAGATATAGCATTAACGCTTCAGATTGATGACTTTTTCTCGGAACTGAAACAACCTAATTGGAGTTTAATGCCCATCCCCACTGGAGCGCTGATTTTGGCGGTGGAAGGGGCCAGGTGGGGTCCCCGCCACAATTCCAAGTTTCGCATTAATGTCCTTGTTGGGACGTTGCTGTTCTTCCGATTCTTAAGAAGAATCATATTGGACATAAAATGTTAGCTCTGTTTCTCTCTCCAGAGATGCTGCCAGACCTGCTGAGTTTCACCAGTATTCTCTGTGTTTGTTTCAGATTTGCAGCATCTGCACTATTTTGCTTTTATTTAAGTAGCCATTGATCTTGTGTATGCGGTCAGCGAGCTCCAAGAACCATCGAAAGCCAAGAACTGAACATGGAGCCTCTACCTCAGGTTTATTGACCCGACCAATAGCTTTGAAAAAGTAAGCTGTGATTTGGAAGATAATGAAGAAATTATCCGCAATGGTTTGATAGTTCCATGACACTGTGCTTGTCCATGTCCTGGATGATGATGAGTCTTCTGGTCCATTCCCAGTCTCAGATAGAATTAAACAGAGTTGGGTGCAGGGGCTAACCCACATGCTTTTCTCTGCTGTGATCTCCAATGCCTTCCAACATTGTGATCCAAGTATCAAAATTATTTGGACCAGAAGGTACTCAATCTGAGATGTCCCTGGGCAAACAAGGTCTCCAAGTATTCATCACAATTTCCAGTTCGCAAATGACTGGTGTTGGAGAACAAGTCCATTCTAGATTACATATCGACCTGCAAGTCATGCGTTGTGGAGTTGTTATAAAGTCATAGAACCATAGGGATATACAGCACGGAAACAGACCCTTCGGTCCAACTCATCCATGCCGACCCTGATATCCTAAATTAATCTAGTCCCATTTGCCAGCATTTAGCCCATATCTACCTAAACCCTTCCTATTCATGTAACCGTCCATATGCCTTTTAAATGTTGTAATTGTACCAGCCGCCACCACTTCCTCTGGCAGCTCATTCCATATACACACCACCCTCTGCGTGAAAAAGTTGCTCCTTAGGTCTCTTTTACATCTTTCCCCTCTCACCTTAAACCTATGCCCTGTAGTTTTGCACTCTCCCACCCTGGGGAGAATACCTTGACTATTTATCCAATTCATGCCCCTAATGATTTTATAAACCTCTATAACGTCACCCCTCAGCCTCCAACGCTCCAGGGAAAACAGCCGTACCCTATTCAGCCTCTCCCTATTGCTCAAACCCTCCAACCCTAGCAACATCTTTGTAAATCGTTTCTGAACTCTTTCAAGTTTCATAACATCGTTTCTATAGCAGGAAGAACAGAATTGCATGCAGTATTCCAAAAGTGGCCTAACCAATGTCCTGTACAACTGCAACATGACCTCCCAACTCCTATACTCAATGCACTGATCAATAAAGACAAGTGTACCAAACGCCTTCTTCACTATCCTATCTACCTGCGACTCCATTTTCAAGACCTTGTTGTTTGGCAACACTCCCCAGGTCATTACCATTATGTGTATCAGTCCTGCCCTGATTTGCCTTTCCAAAATGTAGCATCTCACATTTATCTAAACTCCATCAGCCACTCCTTGGCCCATTGGCCCATCTGATCATTGATCCTGTTGTACTCTGAGGTAAACTTTTTCGCTGTCCAGTATATCTCCAATTTTCAGGTCATCCGCAAACTTACTAACTATACCTCCTCCTATGTTCACATCCAAATCATTTATTCTCCAATACATGCAGCAACTTCAGCATTAAGATCATCACAGTGGAAGGTGATGTCATGTACCAGCCTACTCCAAGGAAAGGCACATCTTGGGTCTGAGGTTTCAGACCATGATCCAAAACTACCAGTTGTGAATATGTTCACTGACCTTAGCACCACATTCTCTTGGGCTGTCTGTAGGGACTTATCAATCTGTGACAATTGGAATTTCATTTCTCTCCATTACTGGGAGACTGCACAAGATACATACAATTACCAAAGCAAGTTGAGCCTTCAAATCATTGAACAGCAGTCAAAGAATAAGTAAATCAGCCTACCAAGCTGAAAATTTATGAAGCATTTGTTCCATTTACTCTGCTGTACATATGTGAGATTTGAACCGAATAGCTCAGCCAATTTCACTTGAGCTGCCTTTGGAAAATTCTGAAGATCAGAAGGCAGGACAAAGTGCCAGACACCTGAGATGTTCACTGAGCTGGTATGCCAAGCACTCGCACCAGACTGAGACAGGCACAACAGCTTTCAGCTGGTTATGTTGCCAAAAATGCCTGACACCCACTCACTAAAGTATGTCTCAAATGGAGAGCACATGCATGGGATGTGCGCTGATGGCAGTCAAAGGAAGTGCAACAAGGACACTCTGAAGGTTCACTACAGAGTTTTTATATCGACGTTGAATTCTTGAAGAATTTCTCCAGGATCACTGCATCTCATGCAATGAAATAAAACAAGGTGCAACCTCATTTGGAAGAGAGAGCACATCAGATGCAGAGGAGAACCATATGGAGAGGATATCCTTAACCAATAGCTCCTCCACATTAACTGTCATATCGGTCCTGTATTCAGCAGACCCTTCTGGATTCAGATCAGCCTTAGCAGTCACCTAAATAGCCACCAGATCCAAACGAACACCAGATGTTGAAAATTATTAAAAAGTAATTGCAAAAGAACAGACAACAACATTTAAAAACGTAGATCAGAAACTAAGGCCTAATGAGATTCTGTCTCTTGGACATTTGCATTATGAAAAACAGCTTAAAATGACCTTACCTCTATTCATAGGATACTCACCTCTGGGTCAGATTCAGATCTTAAACTTAATCCAGCGTTAAATACGCAATTGGAGTTCACGTTTCAGTGCTGTATAGAGAGAGGGTCAGAGATGATAACCTCTGAAAATATGTTCTGCTTAGATCGTGTCTGACTGTTTTGGTGCTTCCAATAGTTAATGAGAATACCAATATACTAATCAAAAGAGCAGAGAGTTTTTCTTGTATCAGGGTTAATATTTATTCCTCAATCAACCCACTAACGTAATTTTGCCATTTGCTGGATCTTGTGAACATGGCTGGATTTTCCTAGCAACCAATAGTATTTTAGCTTCAAAGTAATTAATGGGCTTTTGGAACATCCCTAAGAACTGTGATAGGTTCAGTATAAATACAAGGTCTTTGTTTCCTTAGGCCTCCTCAGGAGCTGGGCCTATGGAGTAGGACGGATGTAACAGTGTGCGAGATAGAAGAAGGCTTAGAACCTCCAGAGTTCTGGCATGCACTAGGACAACAGGATCGAAAAGTGTACGACTGCATGTTACAAGGTAATGGAACTTGGACTCTGGCTTTGGAGTATGGTGGGCGTAGAGTCCAGATTGAAGGGCGGTAAAGGAAGTGGGGATGGAGAGTGTTGGGTCTAAGGTCTCTGAGACATCAGATGCTGCTTGTTCATTGGCAATAGCGTCATCAGGGCTACTTAAAAATGCAAGCATCTCCCTCCCTCCCTCCTTTAGGATGGTACAATGGCTCAGTGATTAGTACTGCTGTACAGCACCAGGGACCTGGGTTAGATTCCACCCTGGGGTGACTGTGGGGAGTTTGCACATTCTCCCTGTGTCTGCATGGTTTCCTCTGGGCGCTTTGGTTTCCTCCCACAGTCCAAAGATGTGCAGGTTAGGTGGATTGGTCATGCTAAATTGCCCGTAGTGTCCCGGAATGTGCAGGCTAGGTGGATTTTCCATGCGAAATGCAGGGTTACAGGGGTGGGTCTGATAGGGTTGCTCTTCAGCGAGTCGATGTGGACTCGATGGGCTGAATGGCCTGCTTCCACACTGTAAGGATTCTACGAATCCAGAGCATTGATTGTTATCTTTTATGTCCCACAGATCCCGGGAAATGCAATTTCACGGTACGGCTCTTCAGATTGTCTGCTTCCTCAGGGGAGTTTACTGTAACAGAACAGTTCAGTCCGACACGTATCTCCAGTGGTGTCATGACGATGCCCTTCCAACAGGAGGCTCTGTACTCCGTACCTCAGCCAGGTGAGCGATATTTCCTGCATGCAGCACTGTCACTTTTGGGGCAGTCATAAAACCCTGAGCACGAGCAAGTGGAAGGGCTGAAGGTGCATAACTCACAGGGAATTCTGGGCTGCCTTTCTCACATGATATCATTGCCAACTTGGCTACATTTGTCTTCTTTTCGTGCTGCATGTTTCCAGGTTAGAGCCCAACTCTGGAAATTGAACCCAACACCATGTTGAAAGAATCAATGGCTGAATTTATATAACACCTTTGTAACCTGAGGACATCCCAAAGGACTTTGAAAGTCAATGGGAATCCGTCTTGAAGTTTAACCACTGTTGTAATGTAGGGAATGGGTCAGCATAGGAAGATTTTGCAAAGAACTGAAGCCATCTTACAGCACTGAGGTAGTCTTCCATCAGCGGAGATCCTTGTTTTTCCCTGGCGATCCCATTTGCTGCTTGGTGTCCCAACCAACAACTCCTCCATTGCCATTTAGAAAATAGTACTCCTGACAGATAACATGGCCTTATTGCTGTTTAAAGTGCATAGGATAGCTACCTCATCAGAACAACTGGCAAAGCAATACGTCAGAAATTAACCATTTGATGCAGTGCTTTGAGATGTTTCAAATGTGCAACAATGTAAAAATTATAAAGTAGATAAGAGGTTGGAAGCAAAAGCAGAAATTGCATGAAAATCTGAGCAAGTGTGGCAGCATCTGCAGAAAGAAATCAGAATTAACATTTCAGGTCCACTGATCCTTCCTCAGAACTGATGGTAGCTAGGGAAAATGTTGGCTATTATGCAGAAGATAGGGTGGGGGTAAGTAGGGAACAATAGGTGGAGGTAGAGCTCAGAGAGAGAGAAGAACAGTTGAACAGACAAAGTAATGGATATTGGTCAGCATGGGAGAATGAATGGCTGTTAATGGGGACTGTTAGTGACTTGCAATGAGTAGTGTGTAATAGCAAACCATGTGATAGTAAGGCCTGGTGTGTTGGGGTTGGGGCAAGAACATGGGAGAAGGTGCCTCAAGCCCTAAAATTGTTGAACTCAGTATTGAACCTGGAAGGCCCTAGAGTTCCCAAGTGGAAAATGAGGTGTTGTTCTTCCAGCTTGCTCTGAGCTTCACTGGAACACTGCAGCAAGCCTGAGACAGAGTTGTTGGCCAGGGAGCAGGATGGGGTGTTAAAGTGACAGGCAATGGGAAGCTAAGGGTCCATTATGCAGACAGAACATAGGTGTTCTGCAAAGCAGTCACCCAGTCTACACTTTGTTTCCCCAGTGTAGAGGAGATCACATTGAGCAGTGAATATGGTAGACTAGATTATGGGAAGTGCAGGTAAAGTGCTGCTTCACCTGGAAGGTATGTTTGGGCCCTTGGATAGCAGGGAGGGAGGAGGTAAATGGGCAGATGTTGCACCTTCTGCAATTGCAGGGGGAAGGTGCCGTGGGGCTGTTGGGGGTGAAGGATGAGTGAACCGGGGTGTCCCAGAGGGACTGGTCCTTGCGGAAGGCTGGCAATGGAGGAGAGGGGAATGTGCGTCTGGTGGTGGCATCCCGCTGGAGGTGGCAGAAAAAGCAGCTAATGATCCTCTGGATGTGGATGCTGGTGGGATGGTAGGTGGGGACAAGGGGGACCCTATCGCTGTTGTAGGAGGGAAGAGAGAGTGTGAGATTTGAAGTGCGGGAGATGGGTTGGACCTGGCTAAGAGCCGTATCAACTATGGTGCTGGGAATCCTCAGTTGAGGAAGAAGGGATATTTCGGAGGCCCATTTGTCAAAGTTGTCATCATCAATATGGATGTGATAGAGATGGAGGAACTGGGGGAGTGGAAAAGAGCCTTTTGAGGAAGCAGGGTGTAAGGATGTGTGGTCAAAGTAACTGTGGGAATTAATGGGTTTATAGCAGATATTCGTGGTCAGACTATCCCCAGAAATAGAAACAAATATCAAGGAAGGGAAAGGATGAGTCAGAGATGGACCAGGTGAAGGTGAGAGCAGGGTGGAAATCAGAAACAAAATGGATAAGCTTTTCTAATTCCGGATGAGAGAGGGAAGCAGCACTGATAATATCCTTGATATACCGGAGAAAGAGTGTGGTGGGGTCCAGAGAAGAACTAGAACAAGGAATGTTCCATGTACCCCACAAAGAGACAGGCTTAACTGGGGCCCAAGTGGGTACCCATGGTCACCCATTTCACTTGAAGAACGGGTGAGGAATTAAAAGAGAAGTTGTTCAGAGTGAGAACAATTTCAGCAGGTAGACGAGGGTGGTGGTGGATGGGGATGGTTCAGGCCTTTTACCAGGAAGAAGCAGAGAGCCCTGAGACCATCCTGATGGGAGGTAGACAAGTAAAGGGATTGCACATCCATGGTAAAGAGGAGGCGGCTGGAGCCCACAAACTGGAAATTCTGCAGCTGACGTAAAGCGTCAGAGGAATCGTGGATGCAAAGGGGAAGAGGTAGGACAAGGGGAGTAGAAAACTGAGTTGAGGTAGGGAGACATGGGTTCTGTGGGGCAGGAGCAAGCAGTCACAATGGCCTGCCTGGTGCAGTCCTGTTTGTGGATTTTGGGAAGGAGGTAGAAGTGAGCTAGGCAGGCTTGGGAGACTATCAGCTTGGGGAGGTCACCAGATCAACTAAGAGGTTGGAACTTATTTGAGCTGCCAAATTTGACCCAGCTGTATAGGAAACGTGAAGAGCTTGGACCAGAATATTCAGATTTAATTCTGCTATTATTTTAAAGTCACGTTTTGTGATACTTTTAAATTTCCAATATAATTCTGCATAAATTGCATATCTAATGGTGGTTTATCTGTCAGTCAAATACATCAAACCAATTGGTAGACTGAGTAGATAACTGTTCCACCTTCTTCAATCTGCTTAGCTTTAAAGTGTTCATTGACCACAGCTATGCTTTGGAATTTTATTATGAATATTTGGCTGTGCTCCAAACCCACTCACCAAATCAACTCTGTATGAGGAATGTACCCAGCTATGAAGGGTACTCTTATCTTTGATTGACTATGAACTTGGAGAAACTATCTTTCTTTAATTTGGCTTTTCAATACTTATCCATTTATTTGAATAAAATTTAGGAAGTTTTAGAGGATTAAGAAGATTTCTCAATATGAAAATACGTTTGATAACTTTATGAACGTGGAATGGAGGGACAGTTTTTTCAAGGATTTTTTAATCCCTATTTTCCTATTTTGACAAGCACCATAGAGCATTTCAAAGAAGTTTAAGTGTTGTTCTCAAGATCATTGGTTTTCTATCTGAGAAGTCACTGCAGAGTAGATATGGAGAATGAATGGGGTGTGATTTGAAGGGGTATTGGGCAGTATGGAGGAACATGGGTTGTATGAAGCATGATTTGGGTGCATGGAGGGGTATTTGTGGTATGGAAGGAACATAAAGTATGAGAGCTGAGGGGCCAGCAGCCATTTTGAGAACTGAAATGACATCCTAGTGATTTGGAGATAGAACTTCTAATCCAAAAATCCCGACATTTACCTACTTCTGTTGCCACTTTGGACCTACATACGGAGGCAGTGAGTCTATCTCCAGCCTGTGCCTGTCTCTCAAATTGAAAATACAATTGACAGATACTTTCAGATTCCCTCTCTGAGGATGGAAATCCTGCCCTGTTTTCCTAAGCTTATTCCTAGATAAAATGAAACCAATCTTTTGTAAGACCAAGAGGAAGCCCCAAACCTTCCTTTGCCATCCTTACAATTATCTTCCAAAAGGATTCTCCTAAAATCCTTTCTACTTGCCAGTTTGCTGGATACACTATAACCATTGTCCTTATCTGCCAGCCAGTTGTCACTTTACAGCATTTCGGAGCTATAAGGGGAGGAGATGTTGGTGTTTTCGCTGAGCTGGGAGGTTTGATAGCAGATGTTTCGTCTCCTTTCTAGGTGACATCCTCAGTGCTGTGGAGCTTCCTGTGCAGCGCTGTTGTCCTGTGCTGGTTCGAATTTAAATAGTCCGGTTTCTGCTGTTTCTGGAAGTTGCCGGTTCTGGCCGTGTGTCATTACAAATACTAGACCATATAAATTCGAACCAGCACAGGACAACAGCGCTGCACAGGAGGCTCCACAGCACTCAGGATGTCACCTAGAAAGGGGACGAAATATCTACTGTCAAACCTCTCAGCTCGGCGAAAACGCCAACATCTACAACCAGCGCCCAAGCTACAAATCTTCACTCAAACCCTGAACTGTACAGGGAGTGCTAATGTGGCCTGAGAGTTGTAGGCCTCAAGTTAGAACTCATGCCAAAGAAGTGGCGGAAGTTTATATTGATCCTGTTCTCTAAATTGTACTTGACTGACGGACCCAATTTACACTTGGGGTTTCTCCAGCTTTGTTCCTCATGGATAACCATTTGGAGATTTACCTGTGGCAGGGCTGGTGGCCGGCAGACAGTGAAAGCACAGGTTCAGCGAAAATCCGATGGGATATGGAGCGGAAATGTGCCATGGAGACTACGCTGCGGTACTGCACAGGTCAGTCTCAAAACGCAGTGTGGTGAGTCGAAACTGAGAGTTAATGCAGTCATTTATTTGATATCAATCTTGAGGCAGAAACTGGAATCTTTGTGTCTTGTCCAACCAGAAAAGAACCCAAGGCGACCTCCAAAAGCATACCTGGTGCACGCTGGTGTAGAGCCACTGACTTTCACCAATATCTTCCCGAGGTGGGAACACAACACAGAGAGTTTGCAGCAGGTACCATCACTTCTCAATCATAACACACTTTATAATGATGAGCTGGGATGGATGATTATTGCTTCTGAGTGAGACCAGTTTTAGTTCTGCCAGAGCCATTGATTGTTCTTAACGGATAAGCTCCCATCTTTAGAATTCCCTCTTTGAACCTCACGACCTCTCTCTCTTTCCTCATTTACAATGTTCCTTAAATTTTTAAACATATTTGTGGCACTAAATGAATGTGAACCAAGAAATCAATACCATTAATTATTTGCATCATGGACTGTTTGATGTCTTTTTCTTTGAAGCCTTTTCCAGGAATCTAAAGCCCTCACTTCTGCACCGTCTTTCTAGCCGTAATTCATTGATCTTATCTTACTATTTCTGTATTCACTTGCACACAGTCCTAGTAGTAAATCAGGGGATTACTACTTTTGGGGGCTGGCTTGTCAATTTTCTACCTAGCACACTAAATTTTAAATGCAGGAGCACATCCCTCTTCTTATATGCTTCATCTAACTATCTGTCTATGTCCTCGTGGTTTGCACAATGGTGTTTGGCATTTCTCATGTAAAGAGTAACTTTCTTCACGAGTATATTCTTTGTGCGCTTCAGGGAAAGCGGGGTGTTGCAAACAAAGTGCTCCTCGTTCAGGATGCCTTGTCAAGACTGTGCAAGACACAATACTCATTGGAAGAGATTATGTCCAGACCCCTACCAGAGGGAATTGACCCACATAGACTGGAAACCTATCTGTCTGATGAAGATTTTAAGGTAACCTTTGTTGAATATAGTGACATGCTTTTGTAGCATAATTTACAGGCTTTGGGGTTAAATGGGAAGAAAGTGGTTTTCAGAACAAAAACTGGATTTCAATGAACAATATGAATATTTTTCAAGTATTGGTGTTCAAACCTAGTACTGATAACTTTCCGTACATGAAGGAATAATATTATCAGGTGTGGCATTGATGCCTCCAGTATTAAATCACCCACTACCCATGTCAACAGGCAGATGACAGCAATGTAAATGAAGCACCAGAAGGCAACAGGTGCCTTTGCCTTTAAGAGAGTTTACCTTTAAGAACAAAGAACAAAGAAAATTACAGCACAGGAACAGACGCTTCTGCCCTACAAGCCAGCACTGACATGCTGCCCGTCACAACTAAACCCCACTACCCTTCCGGGGGCCATATCCCTCTATTCCCATCCTATTCATATATTTGTCAAGACGCCCTTTAAAAGTCACTATAGTATCTGCTTCCCCTGGCAGCGGGTTCCAGGCACCCACCATCTTCTGTGTAAAAAACTTGCCTTATACATCACCTGTAAACCTTGCCCCTCACACCTTAAACCCATGGCCCCTGGTAACTGACTCTTCCACCCTGGGAACAAGCTTCTGACTGTCCAGTCTGTTCATTCCCTTCATAATCTTGTAGATCTCTATCAGGCCCCTCCTCAACCTCCGTCGTTCCAATGAGAACAACCCAAGTTTCTCCAACCTCTCCTTATAGCTAATGCCCTCCAGACCAGGCAACATCCTGGTAAATCTTTTCTGTACCTCTCCAAAGCCACCACATCCTTCTGAAATTGTGGCGACCAGAATTGAACAAAATATTCCAAATGCAGCCTAACTAAGATTCTATAAAGCTGCAACATTACCTGCCAATTTTTAAACTCAGTGCTCCGGCTGATGAAGGCAAGCATGCCATATGCCTTGTTGACTACCTTTTCCATCCGCGTTGCCACTTTCAGTGACCTGTGTATCTGAACACCCAGATCTCTCTGCCTATCAGTACTCTTAAGGGTTCTGCCATTTACTGTATATTTAGAACTCCCTGTGCTGTATGTATACAATGTTGTGACTCTGTCTGGCAGTTAGTCTACTGTGGGTTTGCAAACTTCACAAAAGAAATCATTTGGCTCACTGTAATGTCTGATTCATAACTTGTAGTAGTTTTTACTGTCATAAATAAACTAACCCACGGAGTTAGTTAATCCCTGGAGTGAATTATTATTTGACTATCATTATTAGCATGACATGGTGAACAGTGGTGGGAAAAATCATGCTAATGAGGCATATCATGGTTCAGCAATCAGCAAGCAGGTTAAATTACAGGTAAAATGCATGGTCAACAGTTTTAAATCCTCAAAGCCTTCGCTCATCACGTCAACATCAAAGTGTTGAGAGCTTGCTCGTAAGCAGACAAATCCCTCTTGAGAAGCCAGTTTGACCTTTGAGAAAGTAACTTACTTGAGAAAGGCAAGTGATTAGGGCATATGCTGATTCGATTGCAAGCAAGGGAAGATCAAATGCATATTGTCAGAATGTCCACAAAATTCCCTACTTTAAACTGGGACACAGCAGACCTCCCAACAGAATTCAAAATGTTTAAACAGTGTTCAGAGCAATAGTTTCTAGATTCGTGTGTGTAACCCAATAGGATTTGTTAGGCAGCTGGGAATGAACACTCATCATGTCAAGATTAACACCTGGAGAACTAAAACATTTGGCCACATTTGAAGGGCAAGGGCAAGCTAATGGGGCTAAAGGTAGACAAGTCTCCTGGCCCTGATGAAATGCAACCCAGGGTACTAAACAAGGTGATGGGGGAAATAGCAAATGCACTAGTAATTATTTACCAAAATTCACTGGACTCTGGGGTGGTTCCCGCAGATTGGAAAACAACCAATGTGACACCACTGTTTAAAAAAGGAAGTAGACAAAAAGCAGGTAATTATAGGCCAGTTAGCTTAACTTTGGTAGTGGGGAAAATGCTTGAATCTATCATTCAGGAAGAAATAGCAAGACATCTGGATATAAGTTGTCCCATTGGGAACACCCAGCATGGGTTCATGAAGGGTAGGTCATGTTGTAACTAATTTGGTGGAATTCTTTGAGGACATTACTTGCATGGTGGACAATGGGGAACCTGTGGATGTGGTGTATCTGGATTTCCAGAAGGCATTTGACAAGGTACCACACCAAAGGCGGCTACATAAGATAAAGTTGCACGGTATTACAGGTAATGTATTGGCATGGATAGAGGATTGGTTGACCAGTAGAAAGCAAAGAGTAGGGGTAAATGGGTGTTTTTCTGGTTGGCGGTCAGTGGCTAGTGGTGTGCCTCAGGGAGCAGTGGGACCGCAATTGTTTACAATTTACATAGATGATTTGGAGTTGGGGCCTAAGTGTGGTGTGTCAAAATTTGCAGATGACACTAAGGCGAGTGGTAGAGCAAAGTGTGCAGAAGACACTGAAAGTCTGCAGAGGGATATAGATAGTCTAAGTGAGAGGGCAAAGGTCTGGCAGATGGAGTACAATGTTGATAAGTGTGAGGTCATCCATTTTGGTAGGAATAACAGCAAAATGGACTATGTTTTAAATGGTAAAAGATTGCAGCACGCTGCTGTGCAGAGGGACTTGGGTGTCCTTGTGCATGAATCGCTAAAAGTAGGATTGCAGGTGCAGCAGGTAATTAAAAAGGCAAATGGAATTTTGTCTGCCATTGCTAGAGGGATGGAGTTTAAAAACAGGGAGGCTATGCTGCAGCTGTATAGGGTCCTGGTGAGGCCACACCTGGAGTACTGTGTGCAGTTTTGGTCTCCTTATTTGAGAAGAGATATACTAGCACTGGAGGGGGTGCAGAGGAGATTCACTCGGTTGATTCCAGAGTTGAGAGGGCCGGATTATGAGGAGAGACTGAGTAGACTGGGATTACACTCATTGGAATTCAGAAGAATGAGGGGAGATCTTATAGAAACATATAAGATTATGAAGGGAATGGATAAGGTGGAGGCAGGGAGGTTGTTTCCACTAGCAGGTGAAACTAGGACTAGGGGGCATCGCCTCGAAATAAAGGGAAACAGATGTAGGACTGAGATCAGGAGGAACTTCTTCACCCAAAGGGTTGTGAATCTGTGGAATTCCCTGCCCAGTGAAGCGGTTGAAGCTACCTCGCTGAATGTTTTTAAGGCAAGGCTAGATAAGTTTTTGAACAGTAAAGGAATTAAGGGTTATGGTGAGTGGGCGGGTAAATGGAGCTGAGTCTCAAAAAGATCAGCCATGATCTTATTAAATGGCGGGGCAGGCTCGAGGGGCCGGATAGCCTACTCCTGCTCCTAATTCTTATGTTCTTATGTTCTTAAGTCAGAACCAAATTAAATCCTTAATTCACTGACAAAGATTATGTTTTTTATAGGCCAATCAGCCCATCACACTTGCTCTGTGATTTAATACGATCATGGCTGATCAAATACTTCAATGCTTTTTAGCTAAACTATCCCAATAACCCTTTATACTGTTGGTGATCAGAAATCTATCAATCTTTATTTCAAATATACTCAAGGGCAGAGTTCCACAGCCCTTGCGGTAGAGAGTTCCAGAGATTCGCAATTATATATCCAGAATAGTTTTTCTTCCTCATCTCGGTCCTTAATGGCATCAGTCTGATTTTTAAATTGAACCCCCCTGCTTCTAGACTCCCGGGAGGGGAAGCATCTTACCTACATCAACCCTATATGTCCCTTTAACTATTTTATAGGTTTCAATGAGATCACGCCTCATTCTTTGAACCTGTAAAAGTACAGACGTGAGGTAACTAGACCATATCTGCACACAGTATTCTCGGTGCAATCTAACCAAGCTTCTATAAAATCGAAGCAAGTACTCAAATCCTCTTGCATTAAAGGCTAACATGCCATTGGCCTTCCTAATAGTTTGCTGCACCCGCATTTGGACAAAAAGCCTAGTGAAATTATAGAACACTTTGTGAGCAGACGCAGAGAAAATAGCTCATTATGTGATGTTTCAGATGAGGAACTATCGAACAGAATTGTTGACCTGGTGATTGTATCCATTCCCATGTAAACCTTCCAGAAGGATTTGCTAGTCAACCCCAAGACTTACAGTGTTACTGAAGAATGGACATAAGTGCAAAGTAATCCTCACAGGTGGATAAATGTTAGAGGGCCTGAGTGTACGCTTGATGATCGACATGATCACCAGAACATCTAAACGTAGCAAGACACGACCTTCTGCACTTAACCAAAGAAATGCCCAGCTTTTAATCAATTTTGCAAGGCATGCAACAGAAAAGGCCATTGACAGAGGAAGTGCAAAGACTGATGCAGCTACAAAAGTTCACCAGCCCAACCAGACCATGCACAGGGGTACCTTCAAACAACAATAATCATTCATAGAGTAGAATCCCTACAGTGTGGCAACAGGCCCTTTGGCCCAACAAGTCCACACCAATCCTCAGAGCACCCACCCACACCCATTCCCCTATAACCCACCTAATTTACACATCCCTGAACACTAGAAGCAATTTAACATGCACATCCACCTAGCCTGCAAATCTTTGGACTGTGGGAGGAAACCCACGTAGACACGGGGAGAACATGCAAACTCCACACAGACAGTTGCCTAAGGGTGGAATCAAACCCAGGTCCCTGGCACTGTGAGGCAACAGTGCTAACCACTGTGCCACTGTACCACCCACTGGTATAATGGCCATCTGGTATCTTGCCATTTGCATGAAGACACCAAGGAATACTATCCAGAAACTGACAATGTGTGAAACGCGATAGAGGAGTGAACACATTTACCACACTTTCAATCTTTTGGAAAACATCTATGTTATTACACCAACTGAAGTGTTTATGAAAATTCAAATTACCTGCCCTACTCGTGACTATTTAGTGATCGTTTGAATCACAAAACAAGTGACTATTTGATTTTGGCTAAGATTAACAACATGAGCAAAGTGCCAATACACCACGCCTGCAAATTCTAAAAAGCATATAGCCACAGACTTGGAAAGCCATGACAAAACCTAGGAATGTAAAACTTTCGGCAGACAACAATTCATCAGTTCCATGTGCTGAGTCTGCAGTGCTGAACTGCAATCTGCCTGTGTATCACAGATATTCTACATCGTAGACACTACTGGACCAGCAATCAAAGGCACACCAGCATGCTGTGACCTTGCACTTGTCACAATCCATGGAATCAGTCAAACATCAGAGACACAACAGAAACTACAGCAAGAAACACTGGCAGAGCTGAATATGAAAGAAAAAAGTAACATTTCAGTCTCTTGTATTGATGGAGTTAAAATCTCAGCTCCCTGCTGTGGAGAGAAAAATAAAGCCTCGAGAGGAAAAGGCTGAGCCAGTAGCTCAGGAAAAAATGCAAACTTGAGACTGCCATCTCTGACATTAGTGAGTCTTAGGGGATACTTCTGTTTGGCTGACAAAGGTAAATGAAGAGCTAAAACAGCAAAAGCTAAGAAGCAATAAACTACAAGATTTGTATCATCAACAAGTGAAAAGATAGGTGGTTTAGGAAGGACTGGGGCAACTCCCACATGAAACAGATCAGGGTGAGCAGAAATGTCAGATTGAATACAAAGTTGTACTGGAGAAAATGACAGACTTGCTAATGCAGAGGGAGATGCGCAGTGCTCACAGCAAGGAGGTGCAAAGCGCTCACAAGGCAGCCCTTTCTGAAAAACAAGCCAACAATGATGATATAATGAAAGACTCAAGCAGGATATAGAGAACACCAAACAATCACTAAATCAGCAAGTGGAAGAGATCAAAGCTTAAAAAAAACTAAAATGGAAAGAAAATATTGGAAAGGCTGAATTATTATCACAGCAAGTTATGAAGGAAAGAATACACTGGAAAAAACAGAAGGCTGAAGTTTTGATAGAATTAGAAGAATCTAGTGTGTAAATTCAGAGACTTCAAAATTAGCTGGAAGTTCCTGAGGAGTAAGAGTATAAAATGAAAAGACAATTTAAACCACTTGACCATAGCTTGTGGAGCGAATCTAATCGGCAACTATTCTAGAACAAAATCTTGCTGGAATGCTTTAGGATAAGCAAGCCTTAGAAAAGCAACTGCAGTTGGCGAAAAACAAAACTTGACAACTCAGACAACATTGCAGATGACTGTGGGCAGTCAAAGATGCCTCAAGAAAATGTCATCGCCATGTCACCTGAGTACAACTCTACATTACAGCGACTCATGGGCTCACTTGTTATATAAATAGTTCACCTTCCTTTTTGAAAGGAGGGGATTGTTGTATGTGTATCTTGCCTTTAAAAGAACTCACCTTTAAGGACTCTATGTGCTATGTTGCTATTCTGCCTGATAGTTTGCCTGCTGTACATTTGCAAGCTGCATTCACAGATCACTATTTGAAAAAGAGCTAGAATGAGTTTTTGGAATCTTGACTAATCTCAAAGAAGCCCAGAAACAGACTATCCAGTCATTAATCTCATTGCAATTTGTGCCACTGGGCTACGCATTTCAGAAGGGCATGTAAAGGTGCTAAACTAATATATGATTTACTTCTGCTGAAATCTCTACTTTGTTCAGTGATGGCACAGGCTTGAAGTTCTTCATTCAATCTACCCCACTTTAAGCATGAGTGGCATGGTGGCTCAGTGGTTAACACAGCTGTCTTGTAGCACCAGGGGCACAGGTTTGGTTCCACACTTGGGTGATGGTGTGGAGTTTGCATGTTCTCCCTGTATCTGCGTGGGCTTCCTCTGGATGCTCTTGTTTCCTCCCGCAGTCCACAGATGTGCAGGTTAGGTGGATTGGCCGTACTAAGTTGCCCTGCAGTGTCCAGGGTTGGCTATGGTGGATACAGGGATAAGGGGGATGGGTCTGGGTCTGTTGCTCTTCGGAAGGTCAGTGTGGACTCAATAGGCCGAATGGCCTGCTTCCACATTGTAGGGATTCCATATAATGTGATAAAGGCAATTTCACGAGTGTGAAGCTCATTATCCTGGTGTGTAGGTTCCTTCTGTTTACAAAATTTCCAAAGCATTTTCACGTTAACAGTTACTGCCCTTAAATTAACTCATACATAAAGTATTTTGAGACACATCTTGAGAGATGTAACATTTATATGAGCCTGATTTTAAAAAAAACGTTATCTTGCTTTGATTATGAATCTTTCGATCTGAAATCCTTTGTTGTCTTATTTTCCTTTGCAGAAAGCCGTGCAAATGTCAAGAGAGGAATTTAACCGACTTCCCGGCTGGAAGCAGGTGAATTGGAAGAAAGCGAGAGGCCTGTTCTGAGGAAACAGTAACATTTTCAGCCAAAACCTGCCCAGGAATGTTTACAATTCCAACACCCCGGCTCACCACATTGTTTAGGTGGAGCTTGGAGAGTGAGGTTCCTCAAGTAATTGTTTCATCTCTGTAAATTACAATGTCTTCCATTGTGTATAAACTCTGTATGAATGCACGGAGTAGGTGTTGATGGGGAGCTCCTTATGGGTTAGTTGTGACTGGGGGTCTTCTTGTGGGCCCCCATGACAGTTCCGATCCCAGCCGATGCTAACTCCTATCTCTTTTTCTAGAGTAGGACTGGCCAATTCTCTAGGAATTAAATTTGAATCTTCACATGCTCCCTTGAGATCCTAGGTGAAGACTAATTGAGACATTATAAACAACTATGTAGTTTTTATTTACCATTTGATTTGAACCCTTATTCGTTAAAAACATATTGGAGTTGGAGGAAAGGCTCCCTGACTAGGGGAGGGGGAGTCGAATAAAGGAGCCCGAAAAATTGTCAAACTACAGTTGACAACCTCAACAGGAGTCCTTGCACTAGTAATGCTTTGCAATTGTGTGCTTTTCCTCTGAGAGTTAACTCTTTCGCATTGCCTGATGCTTCCTGAGGCTCCTCTTTACTGCCTGGGCATTTGAAACTCATGAAGTCGCAGGAGGTTGAGTTTAATCCCATTGATGGAACACTGAGAGGAATATAGAAATATAGAGAACTGAGAGGAAACGCAGCACAGGCCTCTAGACCGATGGATCAATCCAGGATGAGTTGACTAATTAGCATGGACAGTGAACAGAGATGTCAAGGGAGAAAGCTATAAAATAATGGTTAAGAAAATGCTGTAACCCCCTGAATAGTGAATGTAGATTGGCAAAAAAAAGTTAATTTTGGAGAGACTGCCTTTAGAAATGGCAACAGCAGCAAAACGGGCTTGAGGGTATTTTTCAGTAGATCTTTTTGATTGGATGCGGGGATTTGGGAGGTAGGATGGAAACGGGTGTGGGGTGGCGTCTGTAATTGAGTTGGCTGTGCACGCACTGCAGAACCATGAGCTAAAGTCCTTCTCTCAATTTCTTGTGTTCTTTGTACTATGCCTGGCCCCACTGCATCAGCATCCCACACCGCCCTGACCTTACTGAATCTCACCTGCTCATGATGCATTTGTACAGAGGTTACTTGTGGAATTTAAGGCTACGTGCCTCATATTGTGATGTAAAGGTTATGTCAGTGTTTTTAGTTCCTTTTATTCTATGTTTTAAATGCGGAGAGTTTGTATTACGAGTACTGTTGCTTTAACGAGGAATCTGTCCAGCCTTAAATTGCGTTTTGAATTGTTGACCGATCCCAGTTATGACCCACACCCACTGAGGACTGACTGATATTGGCAGGGCTACCACCACTGGAACTGCCAGGATACTCCCTGATATTCAACAGTGTTAAGGAAACCAACAAACAGGGCTGGTCACCACTGACAGTGGTGTTACTGTGTGCATGTTGAACATAGCTGTTAATACCCGTCTCTTGTTTTGAACAGAGGTGCTGACCGAGCTTGAATCACCAGATTAACATCTTCACTAAATATCCCGGAGAAAGCTAATTGCTAAGAATGGTGTTAAAGGTTCAAATGCACACGGTAGCTTATTTTATTTGATAACGAATACTGTTTGAATGAGAACAGATAGTCAAACCTTGTTGAACATGTTAGTAATCTGCTCCTTGAAGGGTTTCACACCACTCACCAGGAAGAAAAAATATTTGATAAAAGTGGATCTCCTGCAAATCTTGAAACTTCCCACGTACATTAAAGTAATGGATCTATTGTTCTGCCTTAGCAGTATTAAAAAACAGCTTCTGATGTCTCACTCTGAGAGCAGAATTTAATCTTGGCTACTTGGAGTCTCTCAACCAGTAGTGATCTGACTTTGCTTCCGTTGGGGAAGGTTTGCAGAAATAAACTGCCCTCAGGTAGCCAGTGTGGGAGCCTTTGTAGGGATTTGGACCCAGTGACAGAAATCCCACCGGCTGAGAGCTCACCAATGCCTGCAGCGCTACCAAGCCGGATGGCCACTGCAGGTAATGCAGCCAGGTAGAATCCTGGAATCGTGAAGGGATTCGGGCCGCAGATGATTGGTGGCAGGCTGGGATGACGCACGGTCGGGACTGTTTATTGGAAAGAAAGGGCAGGGTGTTGGCTTTCAGCAGATCACTTCCCTCCCACCCTCAGCCCTCTTTCATCCCTCAGTTCACTCCCACCCCTCAGCTCCCCCTACCACATCCCTTGATCAGACCTTCAAATGAGGAAACTCCAACTCGGATGTGTTGTAAGTTAACCTATGCACTTGGTGACTCCCTGCCTAATGGTTGCATATCAGCAGCCGTGAGGTTGCCATGAATTGTCCACTTAAAGGCCTCCACCACCTTGCACCCACCCTACCCATCAGATGTTCCCCCACCTTTAAACTTGCTCCCAGCGAGGGTGGCATTAAATCCTGCCCCCTCTTTTGGCTGCAGTGTTTCCAAAGGACTGTGCCACTCAATTTCAAGTCGATTTTTGCAGGAAGCTGCAACTTTATGTATCTTTTCTTTCTTTTCGTTGCTGTTTTCTCTGCTGTTCCTCCTCTGTCCTCTGCCAGCACTGAGTCTTGCTGGAGTCAGTAACTGCCCCTTTGCTACCTCAATCCCAGCGCTTACTCTTCTTCATGCAGGTGCCTCAATTGTAATGGTTGACAAAATCAACAAGTTTAAAGTGTTCCACTTTGCTGATGTATGACACATCTGTCAGTACTGTCGACCCAACTGCCTTAGGAATGTGGTGAAGATTAAGGAGCAAGCTTGAGCTCCGTGCTGATCAGGAATATTGTGTGTAGTCTCACAATAATAATATGTCCAGGCATGCAACTCGGGGTAAAAAAGCACCATTCATTGTCTCACTCCTGTGCATCATACGTAGCAGCTTTTACAGTTTATATGTTTTTATAAAATTGACATTATTCCAGCAGGCTCTGAAGGTATTGTAATTTCTCTGTAAATCCGCATGGAATTCATTGTTTTTGCTTGAGATCTGAGTGTGCTTGTTGCATGCACGATCGCCAACAGCAGGTCAAAAGAAAGAAAAGCAACATTGATTAACACAAAGAAATAATTTGCGGTAGTGTTCGGATCCTGAAATTATATTTTTTATGTACAGTTTTAAGGCTGCATTTCAGGATCGCTGGGAAGTTTTGCTGTTGACGCTGTATCAGACAACAGTGCAATTCGTAAAATGCAGTTGTATTAAAAGTGAACAGAGATATTTTGTGAAGATGGTGAGTGAATCAATCTGCCTGATTGCTATGTCTTTTGCACTGTTTCTCTTGGACTGGTTCCAGCTTCAGAGAATGGTTCAGATTCTGTAGACATTGCTGGGGCATGTGTGAGACTTAGATCCAAGCCTAACAGGGAAAAAAAAAACATGTTGATAAACCGCAGCCAGCATTCCCTGGTCAGAGGACCATGGGCTCATTTCCCCAGTAGAAAGCCGAGGTGATGGTCAAAGGATTTGATAGTGCTGTGCTTCAGCTCAGAGAATACTGCTGTTACAGGTTCCTCTGTTACCAATCAAAAGAGAACAAGTCATTTCAGCCAGTGTCCTGGAAAATACTTGTTCTTCAGCCAACTTCCCCTAGAGCAATTTATTGTACAGTTTGTAGGTCTGCACCATTTGTCTCTCATGTCCACCTAGAAAACAACATACCAAAAATTATTCACCAGCTCTGAGAGAGTTAAGTGGACCCCAGTGTTGGACAGGGGATTTCACTCCCCACAAACACCCTGAATCCACACCCAGATCATTAAAGAATACAGGAAGCCATGCCAGAAGCAGCATCAGGCATGTCTAAATCTAAGGAGTTGACCTGGTGATGTTATAGCACAGATTACAATGTCTGACAAACAGTGGGAGAAAAAAAGCATGCAACAGAGAGAGCTGAGCAATTACAAACAAATGGGTTACATCAAAGCTCTGCAGTCCTTCCATTTCTAGTCATGAATGGTGATGGACAATTAAAAAACTAACTCCACAAATCTCCAACCTTCAATGATGGTGGAGCCCAGCACATCATTATGAATGATCTGAGTCTATTCACATCTTCAGTCAGGAGTGAGTGAAAAGTGGATGATCCACCTTGGCTTTCTCCTGAGGTTCTCACCATCATAGATGTTAATCTTTAGCCAATTTGATTTGTTCCAGATGATATCAATAAAAAGACTGAAGGCACTAGCCACTCTGAAGACAATGGGTCCTGACAACATTTCAACTATAGAACTAAAAACTTGTGCTTCAGGATTAGTGACGCCCCTAGCTTGGCTGTTCCAATATAGCTCCAGTACCGGCATCTATCCAGCAATGTGGTACATTGCTCATGTATGTTTTATCCACAGAAAACAGGACAATTTCAATTGATTGATTACTTTCCCGTCAGCCCTCCCTCAGTCAAAGTCTGTCAGTCACCTCAGACAGGCGTTGTTGACAACGTTACTAAATGACATATACACATCCCACAGCCTGTTATTTGGGTTTCCTCACACCAATTAAGATGCATTTAGGTGAATACGTAAAATACGACAGCGTACAATGTCGTGCTAAAAAATGCATTGAATAGGTAGATTTTGATGACTGGCAAAGGCACATTGGACTGAAGGGCCAGTTTCCATGCTGTAAAACTCTACAGTCAGCTCCTGACCTCACTTCAGCCTTATTTCAAACATGGGCAAAAAAGCTGCTAACTCAGGGACTGAGATGAATGATTTCCCATGACGCTAAGACAGCATCCAACCACGTGTGAATCTGTTTCAGAGATAGTAGGAACTGCAGATGCTGGAGAATGTGAGATAACAAGGTGTAGAGCTGGATGAACACAGCAGGCCAAGCAGCATCAGAGGAGCAGGAAGGCTGACGTTTTGAGCCTGGACCCTTCTCAGATTCTCCAGCATCTGCAGTTCCTACTATCTCTGAAATGATTTTAACCCCACTGCAAAGTCTCTTCTAAGGATGCCTACCCTGAAGAAGTTACCCTCCTCCCTCTGGAAAATCCTCAGTGGATCTCTCTCCCACTGCAACTCTCTCATAATCTCTTCGGCATTTCTGAAGAAGAGTCCACGCCCGAAACGTCTTGCCTTCCTGCTCCTCTGATGCTGCTTGGCCTGCTGTGTTCATCCAGCTCTACACCTTGTTATCTCACATGTGAATCTGGAACCCTGGTGAAACAAGTCAGTGGGAATTGGGGCAAAACTTGCAGTTGGCTCAAGTTGCAAAGGAATATGACTGTAGTTGTTGAAGGCCAACTATTGAGTGATACCTTTGGCTCTGCCATCATCAGCTTCTTCATCAATGACCTTCCCTCCATCATAAGGCCAGTGTTGTAGATGTTTGCTGATCATTGCGCAATGTTCAGTACCAATCACAACTCCTTAGATACTAAAGCAGTCCTTTTATAAATGCAGCATGACCTGGACAATATTCCAGCTTTGACTGATAACCAGCAAGTAACACTGAAGCAAGGCAATGACCATTTCCAAGCAGAGAGAATCTAACCAGCTCCTCATGTAATTCCATGGTACTACCATTGCTGAATCTCTCACTGTCAACATCCTGAGGATTTACTAATGATGAGATGTTAGACTGGAGAAGCAATAAGGCCAAGAATTCTCAGCAAATAAATGACTTTCTATCTCACCAGTGACGTCCCACCATCTACAAGGCACAAGTCAGGAGTATGATAGGAAACTGTCTACTTGCATGTATAAGTGCAGATCCAACAGCGTTCAAGAAACTTGACACCATCCAGGGCAAAGCAGCCCGCTTGATGAATGCTTCCACCAGCACACTGGTAGTAGTGTGTACTGTGCACAGAAAGCACTACAGCAACTCACCAAGTCTCCTTGAACAGTAAACTTGAGACCTTGATCACCTAGAAAGAGAAGGGCAGCAGACAATCCCAAGCCAGTGTTCCCTTGCTGGAAAGATCCGTTTCATGTGCAAGGCCCTCAACAACCTAGATTCATGAATAAACTACATATATTAACACTCAGGGTTCTTTCTTTGCAAACAGACAATTCATATGCACGCACTACACTTGCTTCAACTCAAAACAGGTGGCAGCCATTCTCTGGTTCAACACTCCGGACATTGCCTTGATCAATCAAAGTCAACTTGCCTGATTTAATATGTAATCAAATCTTGGCAGTTAACTGGCAGTTATCATTGACTGGTGCATCCACGGCAACATCTCTAGCAATCATAGTCCACTTACCAACCAATCAGAAATCTCCTTTCATATATAGTAAGTGTTGTTTTTCCCTGTACACCAGCAGTTCCTGATGAATTAATACAAACACATTCAGCAATACATGTATTATTTCAGCAATACTCAAGTTCTGTACTACCAAATGTTAAGTTGTGTATTATTTGTTTTTAGAGAATTAGCCATTTGATTTCTTGCTATGCAACTCCATTTTACCAGTCAGATTTGGGTACAGAATAAATATTCCACAGAAAAACGACTCACGCAGGATCAGGTCCTACAACTTATTTTATTAACCTGTTATGAGGCACAATCAGTAATACATAGCAATTTTAAACATTAAAGTACAAAATAAGAACAGTGTTCCATGTTATATATACCATGAGTACAGGTGGAAATTCACAATGACTTCAAGCTATGTGAACATACATTATAGCACTAAAGTTCAAAAATTTGAATCTTGGACTCCTTCCCGTTTTCCATGCATTGAAAACTTAAGTCCGAACAACCGCAGTATTGGGCTCTTTTAAATTATGGGACTTCCACATCTTAATGTCTTTATTATTGGTCATCATGAAATGTTTAAATTCAATGTGTATGCATGCAATGAGACTTGACAAATATTTGGTTGGCAACAACATCAAACAATATTTACAAGAATATTCACATTTCTAACCTTGCCACAAGTGCTTTAAATATAGAATAAATCAAAGGTTAAACCTGTCTCATAAGTACTTCATGAATTGTTAAAGAAGGGGCTGTAAGACCACACAATGTAATAAATCTCATTGCCCAAGACAGAATATAAAGTGTGAGTTGGCCCAGTATTTGCCAACTTTGCCTCTTGTCAGGAATTTTGAAAATGAGATCAGGCTGTGATATTATTTCCATATCTAATTATCATTTCCTGATTGTAAGATGTTTTGTATTGTTTAGAAAGAGAGGAATCAATGAAAATTATTCCTTCAGAAACTGAACATTTACCAATTTTCTAGTCTGTATTTACCACGTAATTATTTATTCTATCATACAAAGTAATTGCACAGCATCCAGCAGTGAGAATGTGAAATACTACTACAAGTCATCAATAGTGAGCTTAAACTAAACTAATCTTTAGGAATTGGTACATTGGGGATGATTGTGTGAACTGCAAGCCCCACTGCAATAATAGTCAATGCACTACATTACCATTTTCACACAGCCTTTCACTTTTAAATTGACAATTCTACACAATTTAACAGGTTTAAATTTCTGGAAAAAAAAGCCAGAGTAGATTGAGTACTGGAGTCTTTGGTTTTGGAAATAGTGAAAGTGAGAGGCTGAAAGGAACCTTAACTAGTGTGAACAAGCTGTCCCTGGTTTACTCAGTCCTGTTAAAAAGAATCTGTACTCAATTTTGTTTTCTGACGGAGAAGCAGTGTGAATGTATGGTAGGTTGCATAGGCTGGATTTTATGTTGGTGCACGTTCGGAAGGAAAGCCAGTCCACACTGATATCAGTTCTTTCCTGTATTTTCTAAGAAGCTTTGTTACAACAGTGTTTGAATTCTAGTCCACCTGCCATTGTTCAGCCTTCACTGCTGTGGTTCCTTTGGGAGGCCCTCAATTGTCAATTCATTGGTCAGTTAAGTACCTCAATAGGCTTAAGGGTGAGCAACACAATAGACACCTTATTCCAGGCCTCCCATATTATGGGAAACAGGTCAGGGTTGGGTGAGATGTTGGAGAACTGGGCATCCAACACATTTTACCAAAAACACACCCAATGGTTGGGTAGGCAGGGGTGTGTAAAATATAGCTCAGAAATAACCATACAGTGAAACAGATCACATGGCCCACCTCATCCATGAGGCTCCTTCTAACTTACTTCGTCAAAGTTTACTAACATAACTTTTCTCTTGAGTGCTCCTCCAGCATTCCCTCAAATGTATCTGTACTGTCTGCCTCAACTGCTTAATGTGGTCGCAAGTTTCACGTTCTAACCAAAGAATCTATTCTTAAATTCCTTCTTGAAGATATCTTACATTAATAGCC